GCGGGGAACTCTGCAAAAAACGCATCTTCGCACGGGCAGCCCGTGCGTTGGCCAATTTTTTTTTCTGAAATGTTCACGGCGAAGCAGCGAATGTTGACATTTCTGGGATATGTCACATTTACCGAGTCATTCTCGTGTAATACGCTTTTTATTCCAGTCGGAAGCTAACTTCATCTGATTATGGGAAGTGGTATCTACTTTTAATCTATTACACTCTGATTAGCCTGTTTTAGCCGCTGAAAATAACTCGAGTCGCCCAGTAAAAGCGTTGAGTTCTTAAGCCGAAAATGACTGCCGTGTAATACATTTATGCTCACATTGCTCCCTTTATGCTGCTCGTAATTCATCCAGTGTCAACCTGGATGCTACAGTCGGCTTAACAGCACAACAGCCGTCGTGCTGACAAGATCCAGTTATGCTGAATAGCAATGTATACGACTTAATGGTTCAAAATATTCCTGTTAATTTGATATTTTTTTTATATTTCACCAAAATCTTTTTTAGATTTTTCTGTTATTCTGTGTTGGATTTACTGTTTTTAACAGATTAAGTATTGTTGTTACTGCCGTCTTTCTTTTTACAGCAGCATTAAGATGCCAACATAGCAGTGGCATAATTCATTTTGTAGCTGTACAAGTAAATATAAGCAGGCTGCAACACAACGAAAGGCGAGCAGTGGTCATTTTCTGGTACTTATGGCAAGTTAAATGCATACAAGGAAGAGAAGCAGGGTTGGCTAAGTGCCAGAAATGACGGATAACTGATGTTGAATGTATTCGATAAATAGTACCCATGATGTGCCAGAAGAACTGCAGGAAGCCATCGGCACTCTAGGACGATTCACTGACTCGAATCTCTGGAGTAGTTTAAATGCAGAAATCAACATCGCAATTGATCGAGAGGTTACCGACCGCACAAATGAAAATCCGAACTTCGAAAATCTTGAAGAATTTGTCCTAGGGTATTCCAGGAATACTTAGGAGTGCCAGATGCTTTCAACGAAATCACAGTAGTCTGCTCCTGTCCTCTCAACAATAAATTCTCCAAACTTCGTCCCCTGTGTCAGAGGCTACTATGAACTTTCACAATTTGTTCAGCGCATTCGGTACTTTTGACGCCGCGGAAACTGGAAATCACCAGTCTGAGCCGTCTTTCCGTTAAAACCATCGATATTACCATGATGAGATCAAGCATTTAGCGCAGTTACGCCGGCCCCTCCTGCCCTACTCTGTCTGTGTCCAGCTTGTACGGAAGGCTGATGTGAAGTCGTGCAGGTAATGGAAGTCGTACTGCTATGGCAGACGGATTGTTCGCTGGTTTGGTACCGTTACATGATCTGTTTCATCCATGGTACTGATGCTTCTTATGGGTTTTTGCTGTGTGGTTCTATAGCGCTGTTATAGTGCGTAAAAATGCGTATTTTCGAGAGGCCAGCCGTGTTTGTGTGTATTCAAAAGCGAGCGAACTTTGTCATCCACTTTCAACTCAGCGGTAAAGAAAGCTGGAAGGCTGAAATTTTGGGATCATATTCCCCTCCCCTTCCCCCTTCCTGTGTATTTCCCTCTCGTTTGAAAATCTTCGTTCGTAAGAGCGTAGATCTCGCAAATATGCAAATTTTTTTGGCGAAAAATGATGACCAGATAAGATAGAAAGCTGAAACTTTCCAGGATATTCTTCGTGCATGCATGAGCTAAAAATTTTAAATTCAGCTATAGCACACGCTTATACTCGAAAACTAGCCGGAAAACAGCAGCAGCTGAAATTTTGCGAGAATATTTATGATTCATATGGGAAATCGTATACCTAAACTGAATTTCGATTTGCACTTACGCCATGACTTAGGACACTTCTAAGATATTTGTAGCGAAGTGGCTATTTCACTTGCTAGGCAAGCTGCGAAATTGGAACTTTGCAAGGATATTCTATATTCACGTGTGGTGTTATTCAGCTTGGAAGTAAAATTCCATACGCAAACATGACAAATACTCAATTTTATCGCAAACTCAAAAGCGAGTGCATTTTGTAGACTTCATAATTCTCTTCGGACTTCCTTTAAATTTGTATTTTTCCATTAAACGTGCGCCGGAAAAACGATTGGGCTTCGTGTAAGAAGCTGGTAATCATGCACGCTAGAGGTCTGCGCGGCCCCATAATGAACACCTTCATCCCAACCGATGTCCTTTCCCCTGCATATGGGGACAAGGCTAAGCTACAGCCATTACGAATCAACGTGTTAAAGTACAGCGCAGGGCTACCAGAAACTTCTCTTACACTTATTGGACAAGTTTTGTTTCTTTACAGTCTATTGTAGCAGAATACGTCTTGGCCTGTGAAAAATTGCTGAGATATAAGTCCATTTAATGCAGTTCTTATATCATTATTTCGACACATCGCGTTCCTAAATCACAAAATAATGTAACAGCGATCAGGAGATCTCTATTACATTTTGATGCAGTTGTGATTTTTTCTATCCCGGTGCCTTAATACAAGCGCCTTGTAGGCTTATCAGTAAAATCAGGTGAGTTGCTGGATGCCGAACTGCGCGATGTTACTGATATGCTGGACAGGGTTGTGCCAGCGCCAGGTAAGCTTGCAATGTAGCATTCTTTCAGTTTCGCAATTATAAAATGTACCATAAAACGGCGATGAATCAAGCGAATGAAACAGTCCAAGCACAACTACTGGAGCAGTTTGCACAACAAATTTGGAAATTGGAGGGACCAGGTGAGGTGAGATATCGTTTACGATGCACGCTCGATTATGATACGATCGTTCGGCTGTGGCCCGATCATATTCGCTATTTAAATGATGACTGGATGCATGAGGGCGGAAACGCTGAAAAGTCCAAAAATGATGATGGTCAGTGTTTTTTCTTTTTTCTATGCCTGTTGCTAATTTTTTTGTTAGTGATATTTGTATGTTTGTGAATAAAGATCCACTCATAGCTTTGCCAGTGCGCAAATTGTCTTTGGCAAAGAGTATTAGGAGTGAGAAAAAAGTGTTATGTTTGTCGAAGAGTCTGTAGTCGCACCGGTCCTATTCTCTGCTCGAGCTCGTAGCACAGCATTCATCTTAGTCCGAGATATTTGTTACAGTTTATTTTTTCATCTGGTGGGCAAAACTGTCGGCATAAGCTCTGTATATTGCTGAAATAAATAATTACGCTTGTTAAAGCAGATTTTTATCCTAACTTGCATAGACTTCAGTTTCTTCCTTACTTGTAAAATAATCGTGACGAACATTCGGATTAAAGCCTACAGTACGTTTCTAACCTCACCCCAGTACGTTTGGTATGATTATTTTATCCGCGATATTGTAGACTGATGGACTGTGCTCTTGTGTTTGGTAAACGAAAATTATGCGTGTTGCAGCAGTTGGCAGGACGCCACCACCAGGTACTGATAATGTTTCGCAGCGAATGAAAAAACCGGAACAGTTGCCGGCATATGAGAAAAGTACTGAGCGCGAACGTGAAAAGTTTCCTCGTGAAAAGGAAAGGGAAAGCGGGCGATCGCGGGAAAAAGAAAAGGAAAAAACGAAAAGTAGGGAAAAAGAGAGGATAACGGATAGGGAGAAGAAAGAAAGGGAATCGAGTAAAACTGATTTGACATCGGGAAGCAGAAGAGCCGGGGACATCGAAAAATCTATCAGGTGAGACTTGAAAATTTTTCGCAGGTCGATTCGTGTACATATTTCCACGCATTTTGTAGTATTCTTTTTCAGTTCCATCGTGCTTCAAATGAAATAAATCGTTTCTTGAAGGCCTAAAACGAATGAAGAGTGCTTTTTTGCACAAATTTTCGCTGTGCGTGTGAGGCTAAGTATTTGTTTTTGTTGGTCTTGCAGTCTCAACAAAATTCGCGCTTTGGTTCTAAGTAGGCTACATTAAAGCGATACAGAGATTAGGAGAGTTCTTCCAGATTTTTCACTATCCCCTGCGTCAGCTGTATTTTTGGGTCTGGCGTTTACAATCATACATTTTTGCGCTTCGATGTCTTTGTATTTGTAGTTTTCCCACCTCATTTGAAATTACCGCAGTTTTGAAGGTTCAGGTTGAGTAAGAAGCACATGGAACGGACCTTCAGCTTGCTTATTTCTAATTCCTATTCCTGGGTACAATCCCCTTCTTTCGATTTTATGTTCTAGCTTTACTTTTCATCTGGTTGGACAAATTTTACTTAAGTGCAAGTTTTTTTCTTATTCTCCTTTCTGCTTTTCTATGATTTTTTGCTGCTCAACATTGTTGCGCTGCTACAGTGAGCAGTAACGCATATTGTCGAGAAGTCCGTATGTGTTCGGAAACGCGTGAATTTTGTCGCCCATTTTCAACTCCGCAACCAGGAAAGCTGGGTGGCTGAAATTTTAGGAGCATATTCCCATCCCATCCGCCATCCTTCCACTTTCAGTCATACGCGCCTAGATCTCGCGTACGAACCCCCGAAAAATATATGCAAATTTCTTTGGCAGGAAACGACTTCGTTGTCCAGACAGGATAAGAAACTGAA